CTTTAAAGTCGAATATAGATATGATTACTGATGATTTACAAAACATTTTGATACCTTTGGTAATGGTGTGCTGTGTGTGTCCTTAATTTAAATGTGTGGTTTTTTTTTTTGTTTTTTTTTGCTTTGGATATAGCTCTTGAACACTGGGGCCAGTCCTCAGCACTGATACCTTATCCCAAGGATCAGACAGATACTCTGTCAGCATGTTACTAGTCTGGGCATTAACCTTAAACCACCCATCCCTATAATTTCAAAGGATTAAGAATACTCAAGTAATCTACTGGAGAGTGGTACGACGTCTGCCCTTCAGGCACAGGTGTTGCTGTTCACTCGCTCTTCCGTGTACCATCCCCTCCACTGCTGCACTGGTGTGTGAGGCCATGTGAAAAGAGCTGCACTACAGAAGGCAGCTGCTCAATCTATGCATCCTTGGGAGTTGTGAACAAATCTGACTCTTTGGAAAAGGAACTGTTGTGAGTTTGAAACTGCACCTGTATGTATATGTTTAGCAATAAAGCATGAGCTGAGAATGCACTGGAATTTCATTGTGTGCTGTTCCTTTGAAATGAGTGATTTCAGATAATGTAAGTTACACTGGGAAAAGAAGACTTAAGTAGGCTTTAGGTGTCTTTCTGTTACCATTTCTTTGGGGGAGAGATTGAGACAATCACCTTGGCCTTGAATTCACAGAGATTTTCTTTCTTGAGGTGACCACCTCAATTTTTATTTTTTCTGGATTTCTTACTATCTTAGTTACAGTGGTTTCTGGTCTGTGGCCAAGTGGTGGTAACATAATCGTCAGAAGAGAAGGAACATCACATTTTAACTTATTTTCCTTTTAGGAACCACCTCATGCTTCATTCAAATAAATACTTTGTTGTGGGACAATCTTTTTGTACACTGTGAAGATGTGTCTCTGCTAAAGCACCTTCTGATTGGTTTAGTGAAGATGTGAATTGGCCAGTAGCAAGGCAGGAGAGGATAGGCGGGACTTCCAGGGAGAGAGAAACTCCAGGGAAGAACCAGGCAGACACAGGAAAGTCATACATAGGTACTGAGGAGAAGTAACAGGCCATGTGGCAGAACGCAGATAAAAGGGTTAAAGGTTTTCGCCTTTATGACTCCCTTTCAGGGTTCAAGTAAAGACACCACCATGGCTAAAGTGGGGCTAGAAAACTACTCAGCAGGAATTGTCTGTCCGTGTTTCTTCTCTTCATTGTTCTGCTGGTTACTTGTTCTCCATTGTTCCTTAATTCTACATGGTTCCTTCCTGTACTTAGTTCTACCCATTACTAATGTTTCCAGTCATATATACCCATAAAACCAGCAATTCCCCAACCCTAGCAGGTTCCAGGGCCGGAATTCTTTTGCCCCATAGAAATTCAGATAAGATTTTCACTCACACACACACTCACACAGAGAGAGGGAGAGAGAGATCCATGGGAGTGGCTAGTACACATCCTGTGAGCCTCTTAATGGAGAAGTTAGGAAAGGAATTAAATCAGGGAATTCTAGAGGGGAGGGTTACACTTCAATTTTTGGTAGGTAGTAAAGAGCTAAGGGTTTATTTTCAGTAAAATGAATAGGGTACAGACTGTTTAAATCAGCACGCTACTTCTTTGCTCCCAATATGCATAGAGGCTGCAAGGTAACTAGATAACCTAAGGGAAGCTGATGGCTCTTGATCAGATAGCACATACACTGGAAACTGTAATTTCTATGGACCTATGTCGGGAGTTAGACTTACTGCTCTAAGCAAAGAGACCCAGGCCTCTAAATTATCAGTTATGGGCTATGCTAATCGTGAGTGTTGTGAGGTAAAACCAGAGCAGCAGCTCAGGCAGGTAGTAATTCTATATCCTTGGAGATCTGTGAATATCTTAGAAGGGAAGCACTTTGAACCCTAAACTCTGATCAAATGCCTGCTGATAAAGATAATTGCAGGAAGGCAGATCTCTGTGCTTACCTAGGAGAGAGGAACAAGGCCTGGCCAGTGGGAAACTTTTCACAAAACACTTCTGAACTGTGGGAATTAATTCCCAAATATGTAACAGGGAGTTAGCTACAGTGAAAAATCTACAGCAAAGGACAGCCACTTTATTAACAAAGCAGTAACGCCCAAAGCCTTGCCTTTTGGTTTAGCCTACACCAGATCCCTGGGTTCTGATAAGTCACTCATGAAAAGATGAGTTGAGCAAACTACCATACCAACCACTGTACCACTGCCCTCCAGCATCCTTATTTCTACTGCAGCCCTATGGGTGATCCTTTGCTTGAACCTCTTTGTTCACCTTTGTACTTCAGGCTGCATGTTTGCTGCATCTCCATTTACTCAATGTACCTGGTACAGGAGAGTTTGTACAGGGAAGACGATGTGAAGGCCAAGAGTCAAAATCATTTTTAAGATGCACTTGTTTGGTTACTTTTGTTTTGTGTGTGGTTTTTCGAGACAGGGTTTCTCTATAGCTTTGGAGCCTGTCCTGACACTAGCTCTTGTAGACCAGGCTGACCTCGAACTCACAGGGATCCGCCTGCCTCTGCCTCCCTAGTGCTAGGATTAAAAGCATGCACCACTACTGCTCAGCTCTTGTTTGGTTACTTAACAAGGTTTAACAATTGTCCTTTATGTGTGTGGTTTTTTTTTTTTTTTTTGAGGCAGGGTTTCTTTATGCTGTTTTGGCTATCTGTAGACCAGGCTGATCTTGAACTCACAGAGATCCGCCTGCCTCTGCCTCCTGAGTGCTAGGATTGATTAAAGGCGCGTGCCACCACTGCCTGACAAACACTAGTTTTGTTTCTTTCTTAAAGAAAAAGATTATTGGGCCATAAGAGGTCAGCAGATAGAAGCATCTGCTGCTGCTAAACTTGACCTTCGTTTGATATTCAGGACTCTGCTGTAGTAAAGAAATGACTCCCACGTTAACATCTGCCCTCCACACATGCATACAGAATAAATGTAAAACAGATTCCAGACTGGACACAGTGCTGTGTCAGTAATCCTAGCACTTGGGAGGAGGAGGCAGAAGGATCAGTTCAGAGTCTGACTATGGAACTGGTCAGCCTGGCATACATGAGACTCCATGTAAAAGAATAGATCCCTATTATTCAGGGAAAGGAAAAGCTATCACCCTACCCTCTGGTCAGGAAAGATGTTATACACTTCAAAATTGACAACAGTCAAATAAAAACAAAGAAGCTACTGGCTTCTATTGCCTGACTGCTGGGGCTGGAGAGATGGCTCAGTGGTTAAGAGCATTGGCTGCTTTTCCAGAGTTCCTGAGTTCAATTCCCAGCAACCACATGGAGGTTCACAACCATCTATAATGAAATCTGATGCCCTCTTCTGGTGTGCAGATACATGCAGATAGAACACAGCATACACAATAAATTAATATTTTTTTAAAAAAATATTACCTGACAGCTGAAGGACAAGGATTTTCAGCATTGCAATGAGCAGCATTTACTGGCAAATTCCACACAATACCTATGTGATAGCTATTGACATCCATACCAATGACATGTGCCTTCCTCCACCCTTGATAAGGCATAGGCCTATTGTATTTTTGGCTTCCTATAATTGAGTATTCACAGCTTTCTGACACATGGGCATCCATCAGACCTTGTAAGGACATCAGCCTACTTATGGCCTGCCTTAAAATTTGTTATAGGGTCAAGTAGAATTATAATGCATATCCAAACATTCTTTTTAAGTCTTTTTTGGGGGAGAGCAAGACATGGTTTCTCTGTGTAGACCAGGATGGCTTTGAATACACAGAAACCTGCCTCTGCCTCCCAAGTGTTGTGATTAAAGGTGTGTGCCTGGGCCCACCCAAAGGACTCCTTTGTAAACAAAGCATTCTTCTGAAAGAAGGGGGAGCTGGAGAGATGGTGCAGCCCTGAAGTACACTGACTGCTCTTCTAGAGGACCTAGGCTCAATTGCTAGCCGCCACATGGCAGCTCACAACTGTCTGTAATTCAAGTTCCAGGGAATCTGACACCCTTACAGACATGCACGTAGACAAATCAGCAGTGAACAGAAAATAAAAATAATTACTTTTAAAAATGTATCTTTAAAAGTTTTTTATTTTTCAGAGCTCCACATCTTTTTTGTGTGTGTGTTTTTTTTTTTTTGGTTGTTGTTGTTGTTGTTTTTCAAGACAGGTTTCTCTGTGTAGTTTTGGAGCCAGTCCTGGAACACGCTCTATAGACCTTATTTAGAATATTTTATCACTTTGTTACCTTTGAAACCAGTGTTATTTGTTTTTAACAAAAATCTCTTCTTGGAACTCTGTAGACAAGGCTGACCTCGAACTTACAGAGATCCTCCTGCCTCTGCCTCCCGAGTGCTGGGATTAAAGGCATGCGCCACCACCGCCTGGTTGCAAAAATGATTTCTAAGAGCCAGGTGCGGTTATGTACACCTTTAATTTTATCAAGTGAATCTCTATAAATTGAAGGTTACCCTGGTCAACATAGCAAGATCCATGACAGCCAAAGCTACATAGAGAAACCTCTCAAAACAAAGGCTTGGAGGTGGTGGCAAGTGCCTTTAATTTCATAGGCAGAGGGAAAAGCAGGTGGACCTCTTTGTTCAAGACCAGCCTGGTCTACAGAGAGCGAGTTCTAAAACAATCAGGACTACATAGAGAAACCCTGTCTCAAAAAAACAAAAAACAACCAAACAAATATTTATCAGTATTCACATAAATGGCATGTACAAGTAGTATCACTATTAACCCCCATCTCTTTTTCATGGCAACTGTATATCTTTACATCATGAACACAAGGGACACTGCATGCTAATTAGCAATTAGTAGTGAAAGATGCTTTCAGAGATAAGCATTGTTGCTGGTTTTAGTTTTTCCAGACAGGGTTTCTCTGTGTAGCCCTGGTTGTCAGAGAACTCACTCTCTATAGACCAGGCTGGCCTCCGCTGATTCTGCTTCCTATGTGCTGGGATTAAAGGTGTGTGTCACCACCACTTGGCCTAAAATAACTCTTTTAAAGTATCACAGTCACAATTTATTAAGAAAGAAAAAAATAAAGAAAAAATACTCCCCAAAGTAAGAGTAGGCTGATGAGCTGGGGAAAGTCACAGGCTCAAAGGCGTACTCTAAAATAATCATTCGGGGCAAGCAGGGATTTTGGGACAAGTTCTCATGAAGCTTAGATTGACCTCAATTCAAAATTTTGCCAAGGATGATGTTGAGCTGCTGATCTCCGTGGCTGTATGTCAAAGGCAGGAACTACAGTCGGTGTCCCCACATCTGCAGTCTTCTTATCCTTAGTGCTGTTTAAAAAATAAAAGACCATTCAGGGGCAGCAGCCACACCATTAGTCCCAGCACTCCAGAGGCAGAGGCAGGAGGATCTCTGGTAGTTTCAGGACAACTGAAGATACATAGTGAAACCATGTCTCAAAAACAGAAACAAAAACAACAATAAAAAGAAGAGAAAAGATCAGCCGGGACTAGAGAGACGTTCTGCTGCTAGGAGCACTTCCAGTTTATGCAGAGTTTTCTTCTCAGCACCCATGTTAGGCAGTAACAACTGCACACAACTCCAGCTTCAGAGGATCCCACTCTTCCTTCTGGCCTCCATCAGCACCAGCACACATGTGCCAAAGACAGACAGACACACACACACACACACACACACACACCTTAGAAAAGAAAGGCAGACCGACCAAATTGTCCTGTTGTTGAAGATGGGAGAAAGTTCTGTGCTCATACCTGTATCTTCAGTTTCCTTGGTTAGACTGATCAGGAGTCACTTCCTTCAGAATCTTTGTCAGTGAATTTAAACGAGCATGTGTTAGTATTATCTTCTCTTTCAGCTGGGAAGAGACAGAGATTGAGGATACTCTTATACTCACTCAGCTCTCAGTTTGCTGTTTACATGTCACCAGATTTAAAATAAAAATCTTTAAAAAACAATCACAACATACACACACACACTTGCCTATATTAAGGGAAAGGATATAGGTGAGTCCTAGGACAGTCTGGTCTACAAGTTCATATGACCAGTCACAGCTACGAAGTAAAATCCTGTCTCTAAAAAGAAAACAAAAAAGTTGTGTATATTAAGTAACTACATAATCAAGTTTACCTCTGCAACCTTTTCTTGGAGAGGCAGGTTGTTAATATCCATCTCAGATGCATTTACTATGGTCTTTGTTTTCAAGACATAGCTAGAGAGAAAATATATAAAGTATTAGTACCATTACACATGAATCAAAGCCTGCCTTAATGGCTTTAAGGACCATGGTGTATTTCATTTGGAAAAACAGATTTTCAATTGAAACACAAACTCTGCTTATCCTTTCACATTCTCAGAGACAAAATGATCTCGTGAGAACTGAAAACAAACCCAGAATCAAATGAGTAACTACCACGAGTAAACAATTCACTGAAGGCTGGGCAGGGTGGGGTGTGCCTTGGTGCTGTCCCTGGGGAAACAGAACAGATGGTTGTGCTGGAGTCTTGAGCTCTGGTACTCTGACAGAACTCTAAGAATTTTATCCTCTGGGCCGTTTCTCCAGCCCTTTCAGCTTCATGTAATAAAACACTGTAAGCCAAATGTTTAATTAGCTAGGAAGATGATAAAATACCCCATGTGAAAACAGTAAATGAGATCACACAGTCATTACTATACTCCAGTCTTCATTTCATTAGTCTTTTCCATCAGGTAAGATTTTCTCTGTCTGGAGTCAAGTGCAGAAAATAGTTATTCCAAGTGTAGAGTACTCACTTTCCAAGCTCAGCACCAGTATCATCTAAAAATGACTCTAGGTCATGTGGTCAATATCATCACCTTAACAGATCTGGGATGGCATAGGAACAGGCCTCTATGCAAAGGTGCCCTCTATAAGCGAGTAGCACCACTCCACAGGCCAGAGTACTGGACTAAAAATAAAAATGAGAAAGCAAGGGCTGGAGACACGGCCCGGCATGGTTAAGAACATTGGCTGCTCTTCCAGAGGATCTGGGGTTAATTCCCAGCAAACATTTGGCAACCCACAATTGTCTGTAACTTGTTACATCCTCACATACACATACATGATACAAATCACAAATGCACATAAAAAATAAAAATGTCATTAAAAGAGAGAGAGAAAGCAAGCTGAGGATTAGCATTAATCTCTGCTTCCTGACTGAGACACAATCCATCAGCCTCCTCCCCCATGGCTTCCTACCATGATGGACGATACCCACAGACTGTGAGCCACAGGGAGTAAGCTCTCCCTCCCTCAAGGTTGCTTTTGCCGGGTATGTTATGTTGTTCTTTCACTAGACAAGTAACCAACACAGCCCTCAGTTCAAATTCCTGGGACAGAAAATCTGACTGGCTTAGTTGGACGAGTTATAAATATATATATCTTCCTATCTTCTTTCCTTCCTTCCTTCGTTTTTCGAGACAGGGTTTCACTGTTTAACTCTGGCTGTCCTGAAACTTGCTTTGTAGACCAGACTGGCTTCAAACTCACAGAGATCCGCCTGGCTCTGCCCCCTGAGTGCTGGGATTAAAAGCGTGGGCCGCCACTGCCCGACTACATAAACATTTCTTTGAGGCTGGGTACCATGCAGGCCAAGTCCTATGTGTAAGAGTACTTGAGGCATGAGGCACAGCAGCAAACCAAGTTATCTATGACACTATTTTGAGAAAGCGTACCTCCCAGAATTTCCCTTAATGAATGAATGCTCTCAAATTATTTCATATGACTATTAAGACATGATACAATAAAACATCTGAAGTAATCGTATTAATCACAGAGTTATATTTTGTCTTCAGTGCCTGGCCTTTTGCATCTTCTTTAGTTATCCACACCCGGATAGAAGATTTGAACCCCCTATTTGGTAACAATGTTACTGTCTACTCACCACAGCATTTTATCACAGTAGAGGCAGAAGTGGCCTCTCAAGGCAGCCAGAGCAGCATGGGTGGAATACAGATGGAAACCAATAGGAACCCGACAGGAATTACAGAACAGACGGTTGTATGTGCTGTTGGGAATGGGAAGAAGCAGAAGAGAACATGAGGAAACCCAGAGAACAAGTAAAAACTGCTGCCCTCTGATGGTGATCTCATCATTCAGACGCTTGAGCAGGGGGCTCTCAAGTTCAAATTCACAGGCTTCCAAGAATAGCTGGGCTAGAGAGGACTTGTCTCAAAGAAACAACAAAGAACAAAATTTATGACCAAATACTAATTTTTGCACTGCTTCTGATCATTTGTATAGTTCATGTCTCCCTACCTCATAAAGAAGTTTACTACTGTCCTTAAGATGTTTGGGGTTTTTCTGCTCCATGCTATAGAGTTAACTTAATATTGCTTGCTAGGCCACTGGATCATGAACGCTGAAGGACTTAAGGCATTTACTTCTAATATATACACAGATACACAATTGTATCTCTATTTAATTATATAAAACAAGGTCAATTTGATTTTATTTTAATTCATTTTAATATTCTGACAATCTGGAAGACAAGAAGGCATAATAGCAAGAAGCAGAAAAGTGGAATTAAGATTTTTCTCTACGCTTACCCATTTTCTGGAGTGCTGGAATTAAAGGAACCACCATGCTTGGCCAAAGCTTTAGTTATCAGTACATTGTAATCCAATAAAACTTTTTAAAAAACATTTACTTATTTATTATGTATACAGTGTTCTGTCTGCATGTGTGCCTGTTGGCCAGAAGTGGGCCATCCAGATCTCATTTAGGATGGTTGTGAGCCACCAAGTGGTTGCTGGAAATTGAACTCAGGACCTCTGGAAGAGCAGGCAGTGCTCTGAACTGCTGAGCTATCTCTCCAGCCTTCAATAAAACTTTCAAAAATCATTTACAATATATGTTGTACCATATACAACATAAAGTAATAATCAACTACTGAGTTCAAAGATACTAAAAAAGATATCTCAAGTGTACTAGTGAAAATGATTATTTCCCTCAACGAGAATACAAACAAGCAGGTGAAAGAACACGATCACAAGACAAAACGGAAGCCTACAGAATGGGAAAAGATCTTCACCAACCCCACAGACAGAGGGATGATCTCCAAAATGTACAAAGAACTCAAGAAACTGACCTTCAAAAGAACAAATAATCCAATAAAAACAGAAATGCAAATCAAAACAACTCTGAGATTCCATCTTACGCCAAGATCAAAAACACTGATGACAGCTTATGCTGGAGAGGATGTGGGGGAAAGGGAACACTTCTCCATTGCTGGTGGGAGTGCAAACTGGTACAGCCACTTTGGACATCAGTATGGCGATTTCTCAGAAAATGAGGAAACAACCTACCTCAAGATCCAGCAATACCACTTTTGTGTATATACCCACAGGATGCTCAATCATACCACAAAGACATGTACTCAACTATGTTCATTGCAGCATTATTTGTTATAGCCAGAACCTGCAAACAACCTAAATGACCCTTGATGAGGAAAATGTGGTACATTTACACAGTGGAGTACTACACAGCAGAAAAAAATGACATCTTCAAATTTGCGAGCAAATGAACAGTCTAGAAAACATCATATTGAGTGAGATAACCCAGTCCCAGAAAGACAAATATCATAGTGTAGGGTAAAAGGGACAACTGAGCAGGAAACCAACCAATCACTGAGTACCCTGACTCTGAACCCAGAGTCAGAGAAGAAACACACCCTGTATTTGAGAACTGGGCCAGGGAGAGAAACATCTTTATCCTTGAACCCAGGACAAAAGACATGTGCTCTGGCTCTGTAACTAGTGTCAAATAAACACACTTTGTCCCTAGAATCAGGGCCAGCGAAAGAAATATGCCCTGATCCTAAGATTAGAGTCAAAAAGCTAAAAATGACCAGGGAAAGAAACATAGTTTGGCCATGAAGTCAGAGACATCTCTGCCCCTGACTAGCTAAACTGACCAATCTCTGAGCAGGTAAAAATCAACCAATCCCCCTTCTCCCTGGGAAAACTCCACCCTTAAGAGCCCTATAAAAGCTCCTCACCCCTTCAGTTAAGAGCTGCCTCCCTGGCAGAGGATTTCTCCTTCCCAAATAAATCTGTTTGTCAAAAGAGTCTTGAGTGATGACTTTCATTCACCAGTGCAGACCAGAAGACCAGAAGAACCTGGCTGGGAGGTCCCTTGGGAGACTGAGCTGAAAAGCCTTGCTGAGATGCTCCCTAGGGAGCAGAAAAGAAGAATCTTGCTAGGATCTCCTTAAGGGGGCTGAGCAAGGCCAGGCAGGAGGAGATTGCAACAATTCTGCAGGGGGCTTCCCTTTAGCAGAGTGTTAGCAAGAAGAAACATCTTGGGCTGGAGTAAGCAGCAGATAGTTCTGCTAAGACGCTCCCTTAAGAGAATGGAGCAGAACTCAGCTGTAGCGGTGCTCTCCAGGAGAAGAACAGGATCCCTAGATCCTGCGGGGAGACCACCCTCCCAGCTTTAAGTAGCCGGGCTTCCAGATAGTCAGGCCCAGTACACCTTCCCTCCAGGGCTGAGCTGTCCTATTGCAGCTCTACCCCTCCGCCCCCAGAGCTGTCCCATTGTGGCTCTACCCTGCAGAGCAGTCCTATTGTGGCTGTAAGTATATCCTGTCAGGGTATCCCTGCAACACTACTATAACACTTTCGCTTACACTATGTGGCTTACACTATGTGGCTTTTAGACATAAAGCTAAGAAAAACCAGCCTACAATTCACAAACCCAGAGAACCTAGACAACAATGAGGACCCTAAGAGAGACATACATGGATCTAATCTACATGGGAAATAAAGAAAGACAAGATCTCCTGAGTAAATTGGGAGCATGGGGACCATGGGAGAGGGCAAAAGGGGAGGAGAGAAAAATATATAGCTCAATAAAAACAATTAAAAAAAAAACAATTAGATGAACACAGTGAGGAAATCGGGGCTGGAGCGACAGCTTAACAGGTGACGGTGCTGCGACCAAGCTGGCGAGCGGAGTTTGATCCTCAGGAGAGCCCGACAGCAGAGACTGACGCCTGAAAGTCCTCTCACCTTCACATAATCCACACACCCCAGCTATGAACACACACACACATATTTCCCCCACAAAAACTAAATGAATAAATATAATAAAACTATTCTTAGATTATAATGTGAAACAGAAATCTAGCTCTGTTCTTGTATGTATTTTTCTTGAAGTACCACAGATCAACTCTAGCGCCTCATACAAGTTAGGCAAGTATTTTTAAGCTATAGCACATCTCCAAATATATAACTAAAACTTTTTATCAGGCTTTTTTTTTTAAGGGTTTAGTGTAGGTTCTCATACTTGAGAACCCAGCACTTGGGAGGCAGAGGCAGAATTATAAAGTCAAGGCAAGACCATTATTACTAAGATTAAAAATAAAAGATTTTGTGAAATTTGGATATTTTATGTAACTAAATACAAATATTAAATGTCACTCCAGGCCCAGTGAGATGGCTCGATGGGTGAAGGCACTTGCTGCCAAGCCTGAGGAGCCGAGTTTAATTCTTGGGACCAGCATGGTGAAAAGAAAGACGCCTTCAGGTTACCTTTGGACCTCAATATGTATGCCATACCCCACAACCAGACTCACACACAGAACTGTGTGTTTGTTTGCTTTTGTTTTTCAAGACAGGGTTTCTCTGTGTAACAGCTCTGGCTGTCCTGAAACTCTCTTTGTAGACTGGGCTGGCCTGGAACTCAGAGAATCACCTCCCTCTCCCCACCCAAACACACACCACCCAGTTTGAGATTAAAAGGCAAGAGCCGCTGGGTAAGAAGGGACCCCTCTAAGGACAGGAACGTGTCTTTAGTTTGGCAAAGTGGAGTAGAGTTTTCGCCTCCTAAGCACACATTTGCCGAGTGTTTTACTGCTATGGGAAAGTATTAGCAACGGAAGACGCAAATCACTAGCAATACTCAAACACCATTCAACTGTGTTTCCCAGTTTCGGAGATTATTACCGAATCAGTCCTGTCATGATTTATACTATAAACTCCAAGTTAAATTTAAATAGTCTTAATTATCTCACAGGATGTGGTCATCAGACGTTAAAATCTACACCCAACTATAATTTTCATTTCATTAATGTCCTGTTAATATGATTCAAATGCATAAAAGTATAGCAGCCAAACATATTTCTGGATATAATAAACTTACGCCACAACAAAAATAGTTTTCTTCTTGTTTATGACAATTAGGTACTCCTCAGTATCACTAAGTCAAGAACTATAGATCCACCTGAGGAATTCTCCACACGTACCTGCATTTGAGAAAACCTTCAATGCCAACCAGACAGGGTTCGAACAAATCGACATTGTTCGTGACTCCTGAAAGACAAACGGGTTTTGAACAGGAAAACCTCCCACCAGACTCACCCTGGTCATAAAGTCAACAAAAGGAGTGGGACTCAGCCAAAGGCGCAAACTCAGCTTCTGTGAGGTCCAGGCTTTAATGCTCTGCTCGGGAAAACAAAACACGCCTCCCTCACCCACTTCCTCTCTGTTCCGAGTCGTTAGGAGTACCCCTCCTCCTGCCCTCGCCTCACTCACTGGAGAACGCCACGGCCCCGAGAGACCTTGACAGGTCCCAAGCAAGATGCACGGTGTCGGCGAGCACCGCGTAGCAACGTGCGCAATGGAACACGGCACACCTCTCGGGTTCCAACCATGCAGGTAGCCGCAGGTCGACGAGTGACCCCTCCATCTCAGTCCTCAGACCTAGAGGGGAGGACCCTGCCACCACCTGGGTGTCCCACTCCATGGAGGTAGTAAAAGACAAAGGCGAGTCACAAGAGTCGCTGCAAGACTGCGTCTCCAGGGACGAGGGGCACCGTGGCAAGCGTGCCATCTTTTTGAAGCCCGCGCCTCTTTTTTTTTTTTTTTCCTTCCCTGTTTTTATACGCACGCGCCAGGTTCCACCCAAATGAAGTTTCCTGCGCCCTCATTGGACAACATGCTAGTAAGACACGCCCACAACCCGTGGAGCGTCTGCGTGTTAGTTAGGCGTGCGGTATGGCGCGTTTCAGCCGCTCTATTGGCCAACATCGGAAACTCCACCCTCGAGGCGGTCAACCAATGGACGCACAGCAGGCTTCATTTAAACCGAATATAAAAGTCGGCTTGTCAACGCCTCGGGTGGCGCCAGTTTTGAACGGTGTTGTTTGAGTTGTCTGGCTGTTTTTCTGGGTGTCGCCGGGATAGCAGAACGCGATGACCGTCCCCTCTGCAGAGGAGCTGGACTCCTTCAAGTACAGTGACCTGCAAAATTTAGCCAAAAGGCTGGGCCTCCGGGCTAACCTGCGGGTACGGAGCTGGCTGGTGGTGCGGGCAGTTGGGTGGGCGGGGTAAGAGACCTGGGATGTGGGGGACACGGGACGAAGGGACCGAGAGAACCCACCCCGGGACGCTGTTTTCGGGTGAATAGGTTTTGTTCACGGTGGCTGGGATTTGTTAAACGAAAGAGAAGCTATGATTTATTTTATTTGGAGGCTTTTTTCCAGGAACTCATAAAGACTTTTTACTGGAAACTCTGATGATTCTTCCCTGGTACCAGATGGGAAACGCAGGCCCATAAGACATAATCAGTGTATTGACTAATGCCGGTTATTAGGCAGTTGAAGGAAAAGTTGAATTGGCTTCTGGAAATCTCCAAACTACTACTGTTCAGTAAACTCTGTTAGTATCTTCATTCTCGTGGGCCTTTATTGGGGTGCCTAGCCATCCCGGCATACAAGGATGAAATTTTTTAAAACTGGTTAGGACTTTTGCAAGGTGTTTAGAGAAAATGTGATTTATTGTTAGATTGGGGCTTGCTATGTTGGAGTTGAGATTTCCCACATGTGTACCCGAGAGATTTGTACAGCAAACTGATATTTAACCTAAATATCTGTTCAGTCATCACAAATGATTTTAAATGGTTTAAACGGAAAGAGGCCGCAGATGCTCCTCGGGTCTATAGGCCACCACTGCCTGACTGTATTGTAATAAGTTATCACACCACATCTGCTGCCTCTAATCTCATTTGCATCCCAACCCTAGCCCACCTCTCTCAGGTGGTTTAGGTTTTGCTTTCTAGCCTCCGATGTGTTATTTCTAGCTTATTTGGTAAATAAGCTATTTTCATATTAGTTCAGTGGGGAGCAGCAGCAGGCTTGTCTGTTCTGTTCACCTGTCTTCAGCTCCTAGAACAGTGCTTAGCACACACACCTGGGGTTGTGACCCACATGGCCGAAGGAGAGAGTTGACTCTAGGAAACTGTCCTCTGAACCCCACTGAGGCACTGTGACACACAGTTTGCACCTAGCTGGGTGGTGGTGGTGCAGGCCTTTAATCCCAGCACTTGGGAAGTAGAGACAGGTGAATCTGAATTCGAGGCCATCCTGGGCTACAGAGCGAGTTCCAGTACAGCCAGGGCTACACAGAGAAACCCTGTCTCAAAAAAAAAAAAAAAAAAAAAAGCAAAAGAACAAAAAACAAAACAACAACAAAAATTACCAGGATTACCTCTTCTAAGAGGAAACCTCAGGTTAGGTTCATTGAATAGGAAATTTTTTTTAATAGTTGGGTGGCTTCATTCAGAGAACTCTAGTACAGTTGAAGTATGTGGCTTAGGCTCACGCCCCAACAAAACTTCTGTACTTAAAGGGCAGGCAAATTTCAAGCTTTGCCATTCATTACTGATTAATGATAAATCGTGTAAGAAGGAAAGCAAAATTTAGAGGCTGAGCCCATCTTAAGTGCATAGAATCATATACATACAAGAAACACGGACTGACCGTGTTGTGTTTATATACTTAGGTGTGTGTGTGTGTGTGTGTATAAAACAACATGAATTTGAGAGATAGCAGGTCCAGGTACATGGATAGAGGTTGAAGGGGAAAGGAATGGTTGAGGGGCGGGGGTTGTAATTATATTTTAATTAAATTTTTAAGCCGGTTGATGGTGGTGCATGCCTTTAATCTCAAACACTCAAGTCAGAGGCAAAGTCAGGCAGAACTCTGAGTTCAAGACCAGCCTGGTCTACAGTGAGTTCTAGGATAGCCAGGACTACACAGAAACCCTGTCTTGAAAAAAAAAACTAAGATGTTTAAGTCATTTTTTTTTTTGGAGGCAGAATCTAACTATATAGCTCTGTTTTGGAACTCACTATGTAGACCAGGCTGGCCTCAAACTTATAGAGATCTGCTTAGCTCTGTCTCCTGAGTGCTGGGATTAAAAGCATGTGCTACCATGCCCAGCTAAGAATTTTTTTTAAAACATAAATAAAATTTTTATTTTTCAAAAAGTGTTGAGCTGGGCGGTGTTGGTGCACGCCTTTAATCCCAACACACGGGAGGCAGAGGCAGGCGGATCTTTGTGAGTTCGAGGCCAGCCTGGTCTACAAGAGCTAGTTTCAGGACAGGCTCCAAAGCTACAGAGAAACCCTGTCTCAAAAAAACAAAAAAAAAAAAAAATGTTTGACCTTCAACTACAAATCTGGGTGTAATGGGGGAAAAAAAGAACCTAACTAATATATCTGACCTTTGATTATTTTTTTCAAAGATTTATTTATTATTTATTGTGTGCACAGTATTCAACCTCCATGTATGCGTACAAGACAGAAGAGTGCGCCAGTTCTCATTACAGATGGTTGTGAGCCACCATGTGGTTGCCGGGAATTGAACTCAGGACCTTTGGAAGAGCAGGCAATGCTCTTAACCACTGAGCCATCTCTCCAGCCCTGACCTTTGATTATTTTGATATAGGGTCTCATTCTATAGCCCAGGTTGGCCTAGAAATCTCAGGAATTGCTATCCTGACTCCATTTGACCTTTTAAAAAAGGAAAGCCAGGGCTGGAGAGATGGCTCAGCAGTTAAGAGCATTGCCTGCCCTTCCAAAGGTCCTGAGTTCAATTCCCAGCAACTACATGGTGGCTCACAACCATCTGAAATGAGATCTGATGCCCTCTTCTGGCCTGCAGACAGACACACAGACAGAATATTGTATACATAATAAATAAATACATATTTTTTTTTTTTTAAAAAAAGGAAAGCCAGTTGGATCATTATTTATCTTACAGAAAAGACAGGGAAGCTTTCCTAGAGTGGAAAGTGAGTGTCTCTACAGTTTAGGCACAGTTCTGGTTTCCTAAGCACCCAGTGGTTGCCCACTGCCCTGAAGCCAACTCTTTAGAGACTTCTCTTTGCTGCAAGGACAAAGTTTATTCTTAAGGGGCCTTATGAGGCAGGCCTAGCTAGCAAAATTGTGCTCCTGAATATTTTTCCAGAATTTTCTCAGCCTGCTCTCCGTTAGCTCAGTGTTTCAGCCGTGCTGAACTTGGTCATCTTCTGACCTGTTTGCTTACCCTTGCTTTTTCTCCATCTTGTTCTCTCTGTGTGGCCCTCTCTTCTCCATTTTCAAGATCTCAGCAACCCTAGCCAGGACATCTGTCTTAAATCTGGGGCATCCCATCACCTGCTGGCATTGGTTCTATCGAGCCCACACATCCAAAGCTTGCTCACAAACTTACCCCATTGTATTGCATTGTATGTCTGTTTTCTTTACCTGATTTTGCCCCTGGAATGTGAAATTCGTTTCTGTCCAGGCCAGCCTTGGTGTGGGAGAATTGTCTGTATTCTGTCAATCATATTTTAATAAAATGCTGATTGGCCAGGCAGGCAGTATAGGCGGGAAAGCCAGACAGGAAGTAGGGGTGGAGCAAAGAGACTGGGAGTATTCTGGAAGTAGAAACTCTCTCGCCACTCCTGCACAGACCACCGAAGAGGCAACATGTAAGCTGTCACACTGAGAAAGGTACTGAGCCCATGTGGCTAAAATAGATAAGGATAATGGGGTAATATATGTTATAAGAGCTAATAAGTAGCCTGACCAAATGGGCCAATCAGTTTATAACCTTATGGAGTCCTGTGTGTAATTTCTCTTTGGGATTTGCCGGCTGTTGGGGTACCGGGCGGGTCGGAAACCCCAACAAGCCGGCCCTCATGTTACACAGCCTGACAAAGGACATTCAATAAACAGAAGAAAAGAGGTGTCTCGCATTGCTTCCTTACCTATTTGACTTTGAATATAATAAATGTGCTCTTCTTTCTACAGGCAGACAAGTTGTTAAGAGCCTTGAAAGCCCACCTGAACCCAGAAATAAGGAAAGAAAATAAAAATCAGGTGAGTAATGTTCTTTATCAGTTGTTAGCTAGTAAAATGTTGTGTTTAGTTAAAAAGCAATTAATACTTAATTCGTGAGACTTAAGATGTAATAGATGGTGTAAAGGCTCATACTTGAAAGCCCAATATTGGGAGGTGGAGCCAGCACAGGCTACTAGAGTTATAGGCCAGATCTTGAACCTAGCTCAAAACAAAACAAAGAAAAAAATATATTTATTATTATATGATGTTATCAGCATCAGTAATAAGACCAGGGACTGAATTGTCTCATCATTGTTATAAATGATGAAAATACCACGTTATCTAATGAATTAAGATATCCTTAGACAAATGCAAAAGTGCCCGTTTGCCATGACATATGCCTCCAGGGACTGAGGTGGAAGTCCAATACCAGCCTAAGCTCTTGTAAGACCCTGTCTTAAAAAGAAAACCAGAGGCCAGGCCTGATGGTGCATGCCTTTAACCCCAGCATTCAGGAAGCAGAGGTAGATGGATATCTGTGTTTGAGGCCAGCCTAGTCTACAAAGTGAGTTCTAGAACAACCAGGGATACACAGAGAAATCCTGTCTCGAAAAACAAAACAAACAAAAAAGAAAACAAGGAAAGCAGAAGTTAAGTATAGGTTCTGAGATGTAAGAGATAGCAGGAGAGATGTGGGTAGAGATTAAAGTCATAAACACATAAACACCCAGGTTAAGGAACAGGTCTT